CTCTTGGGGCGTCTTGCGGGCCTCCGGGGCAGTTTAAAACTCGTGCGTCGCCGGAGACCCCTGGACGGCGTCTTGGGGGTGTCTCGAGACCGCTTGGGGCCGCCGGGATTGCTGTATGAGGGCTCCCTGGGGCGATTTTAAACCTCCCAGAGGCGGGCCTAGGCCCCGGGCTCCACATTTGTGGTCGTGGTCCTGGCCCCGGGCCCCTGGACCTGGTCCCCCATTATTTGTATATTTCTGGGCGCCGGCTCCCCGATGTCAGCATCCAGGGGCCGCTCTAGGGCACATCAGGAAGGGGCCCGGGACGAGAACCTGCCCCCATGGGAATGGGTCGAGACCCTTTTCGGGGCTGCGTTCTTGATACAGTTGATTGCTGGCAGATGTTGGCGGCACGGCTCAGTACATGTTCAAAACACATGTTAGCAAGTCATGCTATTCATGCAAATGTGGGAGACTGCTACTAATGGATTGTGTTGCTGGCTATCGTTGACATGTACTCTTGAAGTCTGTTTTGGCGTAAGCAGTTGAGATGCGCCATTGATGCGTACTGTTGTAAATCCTTGCTATCCGTCGTTGGTACACGTTCGTGGTGCATGGTCGTGTTGTCTGGTACTACTTTCTAGCACTGCTGCGTGAGGTCGATGCGATTTACGATGTCAGTTCTGTATACATGGTCGTGGGCCCGGTTACTGCTGCATAACATTGCTGTGTGATTGATGCGAATGTGTAGTGCTACCTAGCATGTGACGTTGCGCTTGCATTCGTTGACCGATTGTACAATTCACGAAAATTAATATTCTCATTGCATGCACTCTTGTATGTATGCTCGCTATGTATACCATGTCGGTTCATTTTGAATGACAATGGTGCGTGCCCTTAACTTTTGAAACTGATGCCTGAGATGTGTGCCACGTCTAGATGTATGTTCTTCCTGGCTGTAATACATGCGTGTTCTTGGCATTTGTTGGACAACGTGGTTGATGTATCTTCTCGATGTGCATGGGCAACGAAACGCGAATTACCTTGTTGTGGATGCCTGCCGGTTTTATGCCTGGCCACGGCACGCACGCTGGCGCGCGAGGCGGCACAACCGGGACACTCTGGATACCTCGGGACTGCTGTAGAGGCCTCCCAGATGGGGTCCGAGCAGATGGAGCATCGGCAGTGCATCGGCGACGTCGGCGTGAAGCAAATTGGTCTTCGCATCGAACCGCATCGCCGACGAATCAACGATGCGGCGCGATCCTCCGAGCCCATCTACTCGGACCCCATCTGGGGAACGTCAGCCTCGTCGGAACCGTGTCGAATCCGCGCCAAATCCGCGCCTGGCACAAGAAGAGGCACCAAATTTGGGGACAGGCGAGGACCCCCGAAAATGCAATGTAACCATAAATCGGATCGGCGATCGAAGTGAGCCGGATCGGCGGACACCGGCAGCCAAATCGGGAAGAGTCGAATCGGGAGATATCGGCAGGCCAACACGACCTCCACTGAGAAATCGGCATTCGAAGCCGCCCCGAACCAGAATCGGAAGCCGACTAGACAGGCGAGGCCCCCCGAAGAGGCTGCGTAAGACTGCTGGGGCAGGGCGGCCGCGGTGTGGACGCAGGCGCGCGAGGCGGGGCACTCGCCGATGCATTGGCGATGCATTGGCGATGCACCAGCGTCGATGGTCATGCATGGGCGATGTCGGCGTGAAGAAAGTCGGGCTCCGCATCGAGCCGCATCGCCGATGCATCGGCGATGCGGCGCGATCCTCCGACCCCATCTGCTCGGACCACATCTAGGAGGCCTAGAGTAGTGATCCCCTACTCGAAAGACGGAGAGGCGGGAGCGGAACCCAGACATCTCGGGCGGGTGGTAATTGGGGGTGACCCAAATGAGGGGTGAAGAAAAGGGCTCATCTAGGAGGCCCAGATAGATGCTCGGGACTGCTGGGGCAGGGCGGCCGCGGTGTGAACGCAGGCAAGCGGGAGGCAAAGGAATTTCGGGATAGTCCGCACCACTGGGTGGCCCGGTGCCCCCGCGAAAACGCCAGGCTTGCCGGCGGGGCTTCTCCTCTGTAGATCTTGAAGCCCCCAGCCTGTCGGGGAGTGACCCGGAGCCTCATAGGCTGGGCCCCCATAAGCTCGACCCCCACAGGCTGGACCCAGATGGGCTGGATTCCTATGGCCTGCATGGACCTAACCCCCATGTGCTGGACCCCAAGCCTGCGTCCTCCTCCACATTCCTCCCCCGCGCAATCTCCATTGGGTCGCAATTCAAACCCTAGCCCTCGTGGGCAACGATCGGAGGGGACTGGCACAGGGGGGGAAACATCGACCTGGAATCGGCGATGCATCGCCGATAGATCGGTGATTGGCCCCCCATAGCGAACCCGCACCTGCCTGGGCGGGGCGGGGTCATCGGGCCCCTGTCGGCAATCAATGGGCGATTGGGTGTCGATGCTCGGGGGGGGACTTGCCCAGGGGGGGAAACATCGACCTGGAATCGGCGCTGCGTCGCCGATGGATCGGCGATGGCCCCCGCCGGCGAACCCGATAGATGTTTTTTTGCATCTTCGGGGAAGGCTGAGAACACCGCGCCGCTCCTCGGAGAGCGCCTTCCCGTGCGCCGCGCCTCGTGCGTCAAGCCGCGCACTTTTGCGTTTGCTGTAATTTTTCCTCCTCCTCCTCCTTGTCCTCGTCCTCCTCCTCCTCCTCCTCCGCCTCCTCCTCCTCCTCCTTGTCCTCCTCGTCCTCCTCGTCCTCCTCCTCCTCCTCCTCCTCCTCCTCCTCCTCCTCCTCCTCCTGCTCCTCCTGGGAAGGCCGGGGGACTTCCAAGCCTTCTGAGAAGGCCCGCCCCTCCCAAAAGCTCCCCGCCCAGGCTCGCCGTCGATCTGCAGACCTCGCACCCCCCCGGCCTGCCGCAGCCCGTCGGGGAGAGGCCGGGAGCACCGGCGGGCGCCCGGGCCCGCGGACGGTGTGCTGGGAGGCCCTGGGCGGGACTGGCGCGACGCCGCGTGGGAGGCACAAGGACGCACCAGTACCAGATGTCCTCCGTGGATGCGCGCGTGCGACCAGAACACATGGTACAGCCATCTTGCAGTAGTATCGTTACCCGAGCGGTGTGGCCAGAACGCGCCCGCCACGGCGCATATACTAGAAGGTTTTTCGGTACGCGCGTCGCCCCTGGGGGGGCGACGCGCGCAGGGCGCCGGCCGCAGGGCGTGACAAAGAAGACTCGAGCAGGGGATCGACCACAGAATTGATGTACCCCAAGATTGATTTGCTCGTCGGATCTGCCAAAACATATATATATATATATATTGTTCGCGGGATTCTGCGCATGTTTCACGACGGAATCGACAACACATTCAGTTTCTGGGGCAACTGCGACCTTAGAAATTACTTAAAATGATCTTTTTCAGATGTCAAGATCGATTTTGTTTGTGTTGTTTTGGGGAATGCTATTTTCTCCGTTTTGGGATTGCCGTCTCGCCGTGTTCGGTTCGCTTTGCGATCCGTCTTCTAACTTGTTTTAACTGTCGTTTTTGTTTCCGTTTCCCGCTTCTGTCGTCAATTGTTTTCTGTGTTGGGTTGCCGTTTTTTTAGGTTTGTTGTTGCCGTGTTTCGCTCGTGTTGGGCCCAACCGGTGTCGTTGTCGCTCTGTTTTTAGGTTGCCGTTGTTTTACGTTTTGTCGACCCTAACACGAAACGTCGATCACGGAGAAAAACGCCCCCAACGCTCTCTAAGAACAACTAAGACCGTGACAAGTCTTTAGACCCCCCCGATTGGAGGTAACATATTATTTTTTCGGCGGCCTTATTGAGGGACTGGGGTCCGACCAACAGGGGGTGAATCATGATTTTATTCCGCGGCACCCGCCGCGCAACGACGACGACAGCTACGACTAGGATTGCGACTACGACTACGACGACTACTGCTACGAATGAATGCCTCAGGAGCGTCGAAGGATGTTTTGGGACCAGTCCTACTCACCGCTGAATGGAAAGGGGGGAGCAGAACTAAAGACCTTCTGAGGTTCAGTCAACTCTGAGTCGATCCCATATTCGAAAGACGGAGGTACAGAACTCTAATCGGGCTCTGCATCGCGCCGCATCGCCGATGCGGCGCGATCCTCCAACCCCATCTACTCCGACCCCATCGAGGAGGCCTAGAATTTTCCAGGGGAGACCGCTGGGACGAAACAGAGTCACACTGCTGAGATGGAGAATGTAACGGGGGATATGGCGGCCCCAACCCCCAACTTTGGAGGGTCTTCGGCTGGATATACAATGTGGAGGCGCCAATCCTCGACAGGGGCGTGTCCGAATAGCCGCCTGGGGGGTGTATCCAAGAGTTCCCCCCTTTTCTGAACGGCCAAACTCTTATGGCGGAACTCGGGGAATGGAGAAAGAACGATCGCCTGCGAACATAAACGAGTTCACCAGAAGCAAACTTGAGCGGGGAGATTTGCCCGGGGAAGTTCACCCGGGGGAGAATTTACCAGGCCAATTTACCTTCCCCTGGTGAGCTTGCCTGGCCAGTTTACCTTGCCCTGGTGCGCTGGTGCCCCCTCCCTTGCGCGCAGAGCGCGCCAATGGGCGGCGCCGGAGGCGCCGCCCGGGAGGACCCCAGCGCGGATCCAAGAAATTCGCGCGGAGCGGCAAGAGTTCATGCGCATTGTTTTTATTATTCGATTTGATCCAGAGGAAGTTCGCCCACGGGTGAACTTCCACCCGCGGGTGAAAGAGTCGCCCTGAGTCGTGGGAGAGCCCTCCCTGGGGAGACCAAAAGATGCCGATACCCCTTTCCCCAGACATCTTCTGGGGCGCGTTCTGACCAGGATTTCAAGGCGCATCCAGCGGTGGCGACGAGGGCCTCCCAGGGGGCCCAAAAAGGGGAACAGGAGCGATTGGTAGAGGTATGGGTACCTGTGCCCCCTTCGAGAGCTTCCACCCGCGGGTGAAAGCGTCGCCCTCGGTCGAGGGCAAGCCACCCCCCCAGGTGCAGGCGGCCTGGGCGCCGCTGTCGGCGTGCAGCAGCCAGGTGTCCCCGTAAGCGCACGCCTCGCCTGGAGAGCGGGGCGCCCGCCTCCCGCTCAACGCGGATACATCCGCCTGCGCCTCATCCTCCGCACGTCCTCCTCCCTCGCCTGGAGAGCGGGGCGCCCGCCTCCCGCTCAACGCGGATACATCCGCCTGCGCCTCATCCTCCGCCTCCTCCTCCTCCACGTCCTCCTCCATATCCTCCTCCTCCTCCTCCTCCTCCTCCTCCCTCCTCCTCCTCCTCCTCCTCCTCCTCCTCCTCCTCCTCCTCTCGTCGCTCCTCCTCCTCCTCCTCCTCCTCCTCGCGTTCTCCTCCTCATCATCCTCCTGCTACTCCTCCGCGATCTCCTCCTCCTCCTCCCCCTCCTGCTCCTCTCCTCTCCTGCTCCTCCCCTCCTCCTCCTCCTCCTCCTCCTCCCCTCCTCCTCCTCCTCCTCCTCCCTCCTCCTCCTCCTCCTCCTCCTCCTCCTCCTCCTCTCTCCTCCTCCTCCTCCTGCCCAACCCTCGTCCTCCTGCTCCTCCTGCTCCTCCTCCCCCTCCTCCTCCTCCTCCCTCTCCTTCTCCTCCTCCTCCTCCTCCTCCTAATCCAAATTCCTCCTCGTCCTCCTCCTCCTCCTCCTCCTCCTCCTCCTCCTCTTCCTTCTCCTCCTCCTCCTCCCTCCTCGTCCTCCTCCTCCTACTCCTTCTCCTCGTCCACCTCCTCCTCTTCCTCGTCCTCCTCGTCGTCCTACTCATGCTCCTCCTCCTCCCCCTGCTCCTCCTCGTCCTCCCCTTTTCTCGTCCTTCTCCTCCTCTTCCTGCTCCTCCTCCTGCTCACCCCCTCCTCCTCCTCCTCCTCCTTTCCTCCTCCTCCTCCTCCTTCTCCTCCTCCTCCTCCTCCTCCTCCTCCTCCTCCTCCTCCTCCTCCTACCCAACCCCCTCGCGGTGTGAAATCATCATGACGTGAAATTTGTCGCTATCTTCGGCCTCTGGGGGCCGTTCCTGGGTCTCGGGACTGTCAGAAAAAGACTCAGGGGAAAAACCGGTCCCTGGGAAGGGGTCCAGACCTCTGGGGGGGCGACGTTGCGAAAAAAAACGCGACGTCGGGGGTCTTGGCCCTCTTCCTCCTCCACCTCTTGGCCAAGCCGCGGGACGAAAAGAAAAAGTCAGACCGAGGGGGCCAAACGGTCTTACACCACCCCCGGGTGCGTGGGCGAAGTGGGACTCCGTGGCCTGGATCCTGCCCGTTTGTTGTTGTTGAATATTATTACTTCTAAAGAATAATTATTGTTGGGCCCCCTGGTGCACGCCCCCCCTGCGCCGCCTAGGCCGCAGCTACATTTTCATCATTTTCGTGAGGAAGCCTCAGGTAAAACGATGTGATCCAGATCCGGTTGTTTTGTTGTAATCCGTTTTCCCTTGCAAAAAACACTATAAAATGACATTTCTTGTTCTAATATAATCAAATTTCAAGAATCCCTTGCAAAAAATAAGGTAAAGTGGACATTCGCGCGCGCAAGACGAAATCCTTCCAAAACCTTAGTGTTCGTAGCGATTTTAACATAAAAACATCAAAAAACCAATGGTTTTTCAACAAAAAAATGTCAAAATCTCATCCCGCGCGCTCTTGCGGATTCGTAGGAAACCCAACACTTTTTAAACATTTCTGTCAAACGGGCTTTTGCGAGCAACTTTTTCGAACTTCTGCAACAACGGTTGCGCACCTGCCAGGGCCATCATCCCTGTCAAATAATACCATGCGGGACACATTCGTTTTTTCTTCGCGCGCGCACGCCGTCGTCGTCGGCCGCGGGGCCCTGAATAGTAGCCACGGTCGTCCGCATGCCACGAAGTGAAGTGTCCGAACGTCATAGGGCGGGAAGCTGGGTGTGGGTGGTGGCGAAGAGTCGTTTGGAAATTTGGTAGAGCTTGAACCGGCCCCCCCACAAAGTGGGGGTATTGCCCGCCTCCTATGAAAACCCTGGCACTGGTGAGAACGGAGTGTCCCCAGTCTTAAATGATTGTTGTTGTTGTTGTTGTTGTTGGTGTTGTTGTTGTTGTCGTTGGTGTTGGTGTTGTTGTTGCTGTTGGTGTTGTTGTTGTTGTTGTTGTTGTTGCTGTTGTTGTTGTTGTTGAATTCCCATTTTTGAAGAATAATTGATGTTGATCCCCCCACCGGTGCATACTGTTTTTCTCAATTAAAGTGTGCCCTTCGACGCTCGCACCCTGTTTTTTGACAGGGAAAATATTCCTGCTCAAACTGGGCCCCTGGCCCCGGGGTTACAACAACAACGGCTCCCGCTTGAGACTCCCTTACAATTTAGCCAGGACCCCCGCTCCCGCCCGAAACTTCCTCGCATTTTATTCAGGAATCGCGCTCTCGCTTGGGACTTCCCTATAATCTATTCAGGAATCGCTCTCCCGGCGCTCTGGGGTCGCGCTCTCGCTGGAGACTTGCTTGCAACTTACTGAAGATTGGCTTTGCTTTGGAATTTCCTGTGATTTGCCCAAGCGCCGCGCTCCCGACACCCAGGCACCCAGGAGTCGCGCCCGTTGTGGCCCCATGTGCATGCCCTTCGTGGCCCCGCTGTCGCTATTTGTGTCCCCCTCACTGTCCTACGTGGCCCAGTTGCTACCCTCAGTGGCCCCACAGTTGCTTTCTGTGGCCCCGCATTATTTGCACTTCGTGGCCCCCGCTCGTTCGCGCTCGTCGTGGCCCCATACGCGTTCCCCTCGTGTCCCCGCTGTCGCCCTTCGTGGCCTACTTCGTGCCCTTCGTGGCCCTGCTGTCGTTCTCTCTCGCTCTCGCTTTCGCTCGTCGTCACCGTCGTCGTCGTCGTCGTCGTCGTCGCCGTCGTCTTCGACGTCATCGTCGTCGTCGTCGTCGTCGTCGTCGTCGTCGTCGTCGTCGTCGTGGTCGGTCCCCTGTCCGTCCCTCTTGGGGTCGGGTCGACGGTCCGCGGCCGCCCCTCCGATCAGCGCTGCCGCTGGCCAGGCCGACGGTCCGCGGCCACCCCGCCGCTTGCCGGGGCCCGGCCTGCAGGGAAGAAAAGTATACCCCCCAAAAAAGGTTCGATCGAAGACGAAGAGGGCGGGTATCAAGGGTTTGGGAAATACGCGTTGATGGACACTTGAGCCTTGAGCATACAAGGGCGAACAGTCTTAAAATTATTGTTGTTGTTGGTGTTGTTGTTGTTGTGTGTTGTTTGTTGTTGTTGAACTCTCATTCTGGAAGAATAATTATTGTTGATCCCCCCCCACCGGTGCACATTGTTTTTTTCGATTGAAGTGCCACCCCCGGGGCTCGCACCTTGTTTTTTCTCAAGGAAAGTCTTCCTGCTCAAACTGTGCCCCTGCCCCCCGGGCTACAACAACAACGGCTCCCGCCTGAGACTTCCTAGATTTTTACTCAGGACCCCCGCTCCCGCCTGAGACTTCCGCGCAATTTACTCAGGAAAGGCGCTCCCGTCTGAGACGTCCTCGCAATGTAATCAAGACCCCCGCTCCCGCCTGAGACTTCCGTGCAATTTACGTGGGAACGGCGCTCCCGCCTGAGACTTCTTCGAATTTTACTCAGGACCCCCGCTCCTGCCTGACATTTCCGCGCAATTGACTCAGGAACGGCGCTCCCGCCTGAGACTTCCTCGCAATTTAGTGAGGACCCCCGCTCCCGCCTGAGACTTCCGTGCAATTTGCTCAGGAACGGCGCTCCCGCTTGAGACTTCCTCGCAACTTAGTCAGGGCCCCCGCTTCCGCCTGAGATTTCCTCACAATGTACTCAGGACTGCGCTCTCGCGTGCGACGTCCTCACAAATTATTCTGGAATTGCGTTTCGGCGCTCAGGAACCACGCACGCGCCAAGGACGCCTTCACAACGTGGTATCTTCCCTATTCCTTCGTCCTTCCCCCTCCCCTTCCTCCCACTCTCCCTCGTTCTTCCCCTCCTCCACTTGCAGGGCCCGCGCCAATTCCAATGGCGGGCAGAGAGATGTACGCCCCCGAAGGATTGTCCGCCCGTTCCGGTTTGCCCGTACGTCTAAGCCCGCCGGCCCCAGCAAAGAGAAATAATCCCCCCGAAAGGGGTGTGATCGAAGACGAAGAGGGCGGGTATCGAAGGTGTAGGGTATACGTGTTGAATGACTCGCGGGCAAATAAGAGCGTACAGCCTTAAAATGGTTGTTGTTGTTGTTGGTGTTGTTGTTATTGTTGTTGTTTGTTGTTTGTTGTTTGTTGTTTGTTGTTGTTGTTGGTGTTGTTGGTGTTGTTGTTGTTGTTGGTGGTGGTGGTGTTGTTGTTGTTGTTGCTGCTGCTGCTGCTGCTGCTGCTGTTGTTGTTGTTGTTGTGCTTGTTGCTTGTTGCTTGTTGTTGTTGTTGTTGTTGTTTGTTGTTTGTTGTTTGTTGTTTGTTGTTTGTTGTTTGTTGTGTCGTCGTCTCCCCGCCGCACCGCGACCTGCCTGCGACCCACCCCGCGACCCACCCCGCGACCCACCCAGCGACTCACCCGCGACTCACCCGCGACGCACCCCGCGGCCCACCCCGCGCCAGGCCACCGCGCTCCTGTCCGCAGCTGCGGGGTGCCGCGTGCGAGTGCCGCGCCGCTCTGCCGACCCAATCCACGCTTGTATCAGGTCGGGCATGTCCTCCTGCAGGCAGATTTTGGGCCAACAATGGGGGGAACAAGCAAAAACGCCAAAAATGTTCAAAAGTTGTTAAAAATAGTCAAACATCGCCCCCAGACTACTTTTGCACTGTTCTTGAATGCTCCTCCTGTAGAGGGACATGCCCGACTTCACGCTTGCAGGAGCACCCGGCTGCAGCGCCACATGGGGAGACCGCCGGCGTGCAGCCGGGCTGCCGGAGATGCGGCTGGCCAGGGCTGAACCCCGACGGGCCGCCTCCCTTGCGGGCGGTTGTGGCTCGAACCCCCGGCAAGCCCCGTCTCAGCTGCCGGGGGCCCACGCGCCATCTCGGGATCGTTCGGAGCACAACAGGCCGGCGTGCTCCTCATGCTCATTGACCTTTTGCTTCTCTAGCTTCCCTCCTCCTTCTGCTCCGCACTCTCTTCTTCCGTGTCTCTCCGTTCGTCCTTCTCTCATTTTTTCTCAATCCTGTTTTCCTCCGGATGCCATTACCTAATCATTATACCTCCGCCTTCTTTCGGGTGCTGCCCGACGCGGCCCTGGCCCAAGGTGGCCCCAGCTTTCCCGTCGCCCGCAATCTCCGATGCTTCGTGTTTCAAAATGCGGGGCTCCCAGGCCTCTCGACCTCCCAGGAACAAGCTCCTCATGCTGGCGCCCACTAGCGGCCTCCGAAACCTACCAGGGACCAAAACAGCTCACAGTTGCAAGAGGTTGGAGGACTGGAAGCGTCGATGTCTACTGCTGGTCGGAGAATTGCAGCGAGCGTCTGGAGAAGGGCGGAGCGGCGCCTTCCAGACCCAGGCACAGGCCGCCGAAGACCACCATCAGCTGCCCCTGCTGCCAGAACACGGCCGAGTGGCAGGCTCGGGGCCTGATCTGGGAGAGGGGGGCGAGTGTGAGAGAGAGGGGCGTGCTGACCCAGCGCGGAGGAAACAGCGCAGAGGGGCAACAAAGAAAGCAGCGCACGACTGAGGCATTTGCTCCAACTATTCGCGATCACGCCCGTGAGTGGTTTCGCCCCCCCTCCCTCCCCGCTGCTCCTCCCCCCTGGCCACATCACGATTCGTGCCGGCGGCGTCTGGGAATTACCATTCTCTAAGCATTCCCAGGCGGCGCCGGCGCGAATTGTGGCGTGACTGGCCCCACCGCCCCCCCACCCCCCCATCCCTCCCCGGGTCACGCCGGCTGTCGCCAGGAAGCCAAACAAAAACAACGCCCTCCTGCACGGTGACGTGGCGCTGCCGAACGGAACGGTGCCGCGCCAGCGCGTGACTGTTTTGCGCTCCGCCTGCTCGGAACCCCGGGCGCGGGCGGGCAGCTGCCTATGCTCGTGACGCCGCTCAGGTCGGGCATGTCCTCTTACCGGCGGGCTTCAAAGACAAATCAAAGTGCTAGCCAACGCGAGCCCCAATCGGTAGGTTATTGCAGTCTACGCGGCGCAATCGATGTGGCGCAACGTATGCGATGTTATGCCAAATGAAATCCACGCGGTGCAATAGATGCGGCGCGATCTATGTGGTGCACCATGCGCGGTGCAACGTACGTTTTGCAAGTTACGCGGTGCAATATATGTGGTGCAATGCTCAACTTGAAATTGTCCAGTCCACTGCTCGCGCAAACATCCCACCCACCCACCCACCCGCAACTTGGTTTGAAAACCCCATGCGGCGGCGAATGCGATGAGTGCCTGGCGCTGGCTGGTGCATCTCTGCGGCCGCGACAACCCGCGCACGCACGCCCGCGCAGCGGCCCGCTTCTTTGGCGCGACCGACGCACCCGCGGTGGCGCTGACCGCTGGGCAATGTCCAGCGGGCACTTTAGTGCGAGTCGGCGACTTGGGCGGGCGCGGCACCATGGCAACGTCGACGACGGTAGACACGGTGATGAGAATACCGATGCTGGCGATGATGCTGGCAACGATGACGGCACGGGCAGTGACGGCGCAGATGCTGAGCGAGCCGACGACGGCGTCGGCGTCCACGCGTCGGTGATGAAGGTGTTGGAAAAAAGTTCCACATGCATGCGCGGCCGACGCGCGAGAGTAGCCCGCATGGTATTATTTGACCGGGGTCGTTCCCCCAAGCACGCGCGCAAGGGCGCCCGAATGGTTTCGGCATGCGGCGCGAAAGGCCCGCTTGGAGGAATTTCGTGAACATGTTGAGAGCCCCAAAACATTGTTCTCTAAAGAATGCGCAAGAGCGCTGCCGTACGTATTCATATATGAACATGACGTATCGAGGCCATGTTTTTTTAATTATGTGCCTTGGGCACTCGGTTTTGAACTTGTTACAACACCGAAATTGTTTGACGGAGTTCGGCAGGCGCGCGCGACGACGCGCGCGCGCACTTCGCCCCATTATTTACAAGGGTTTTCGCAACGGCACGCGCGCAAGGGCGTTCGAACGATTTCGACATGCGCGCGCGCGAAGCCCGTTCTGTAGCATCCCCTGCAAATGATGAGAAAACCAAGTGGTTCTCTCGGGTATTCGCCACAATGCGCGCGCACGAGGTTTTTGAAAATCCACGCTGCGAGTGCATGTGTATTTTCCTGGGCGCGCGCGATTTCTGAATCCTAGCGAAACCGCAAGTTGTTTCAAGGACTTCGGCATTCGCGCGCGACGACGCGCGCGCGTGCCCTCCATCCTGATTGCGTTGCGCAAAGAGTTTTTTTGAAAACTGCTGATTTGTGATGGGCGAGCGCGCGTACACTTTCGTATGCATCGGGTCGCGGGGGGGGGGCCGATGCCGGCCTGACCAGGGTGGTGCGAGCTCATGTTTAAGATGGGCGATGGGGAAGAATCGCGCGCACATTGCAACGCGGAAACGGGTGTCGATAATCGGCGGGGGGGGGGGGGAGTTCACTCTTTTTTAGAAAGGGGAATTGACGCGCGGCAGCCTATGTTATGCAATCTATGCGGTGCATTCTACGCGGTGCGATCCATTCTGCTGAAGTTGAAATCGTCGTCTCCACTGCCCGCGCAAACGCCCCGCCCCCCCGCCCGCAACATGTTCGGCAAAGCTCGCGCTGCGGGGGGCGGCGGCGCCGCCGATGACGACATCGACGATGACATCCTCACTGCCGGTGTTTGCCACCATGAGTCGATGAGGACGTGCGCGATGACAGGATGACGTCCGCAACGTCTGCGACAATGACGAAGATGGCACCAGCGACGACGATGTTCAAGAGGGCGACGGCACGAACGATAAAGGCGCCACTGGTGGCAACCACGTTGGCGATGCTGATGTCCATCGGTCGATGAGGCGAGTGAAAATCCGCGCGCGCGGAAACTCAACGAGACCGTCAGAGTGATCATGCGCGCGCGGCGGTGCGCGCATGTGGCCCGCGTGGTGTTGTTTGGCAAGGATTTGCGCGCTCGGCGCATGACAGGAGTATCGCGGGTGCACCGCGCGGTGACTTAAACATCGCTGGATTTGGCAGAACCCATAAGAACCCGGAAAGGTTTTCGCATGATTTTAGCATGCCGCGCGGACAAGAAATGCGCAAAGCAAAAACCCTAAGGGCTCTTAGGATTGTGTGTTGAGATGCTTGCAAACACACGGTGTTTGGTACGACGTTGACATGGGCGCTCGCGGGATGTCTTTGTATCAAAGTATGTGCAAGGGGCTCTTGAACACTTATGTTTGCCTATCAACAGGTGCGCGCGCATAATATGTTTTGCAGAGGATGGCGGGGGGGGCGATACCGGCCTGGCTGGGATAAAGCGATTGCATATTCAGGAATGACGATGGGGCATAATCATATCTAAATTACAATACGGAAAAAGGGGGCCGTTAACTCCGGGGGGGGAAGGGGGGTGGAGTCTATTCTTACGAGAGAATTGATTTCGACAAACGAAATGACAAAGTCCATGTTCTTGCAAACATCCTGCCCACCCACCCGCATTTTGGTTTGAAAAAAACCATGCGGCGGCGATTGCGATGAAAACTTCGCGCTGGCCGGTGCATCTCTGCGGCCGCGCCAGCCCGCGCATGCGCGCGCGCAGCGGCCAGCTAGTTTGGCGCGAACGACGCGGCCGCGGCGGCGCTGAGCGCTCGGCGCATCCAAACAAGCAGTTCAGTGCGAGTCGGCGACTTGAACGGGCGCAGTATCATGGCAGCGTCGACAACGGAAGACACGATGATGATCGCAGCGATGCTGGCGGCGATGCTGACAGCGACGACGGCGCGGCCACTCAGGGCGCCGATGCTGGTCGCGCCAACGACGATGACGGTGACGGCGTCCTCGCGTCGGTGATGAGTGATGAAGGTTTCGGAAGGAGTTCGACGTGCGCGCGCGGCCGACGCGCGGGCGGCCGCGCGGTCTTATTTGACGCGGATCGCGCCCCGCCAGCACGCGCGCAAGGGCGTTCGAATGATTTCGGCATGCGGCGCGAGAGGCCTGTTTGGCAGAATCCCATGCACATGTTGAATCAAAACATATGGTTTTCTCAACGCGTCGCGAGGGCGCGAACGCAAGCTTTTTGAAAACTGACGCTGCGGAACCATGTGATTTTATGTGTCATTGCACCGACCTCGCAGACGTGCTGCAGAGGATGTTTGCGTGGATTTATGCCAATGCGAAACCCCGAAACGGCGAGTGAAAAAAACGAAATGAAATCCGCGCGTTTATTATTTTTTGTTTTTGATCCTCGTTCGTGGCCAACAAAAAATCCGCACGAAATTCACCTCAAAACCCGGGGCGCAATTATCCAGGACACTCCGGGCCCATCCTATCAATGTCCGGATGGAACCCGCTCTGCGAGGTTGGCGCCGTGATACATGGCGTCGGGACACTCGGTTTTGAAATCCCTGCGAAGCCGAATGTTTTCCTAAAAATGTACCGGCACGCGCGCGCGACGACGCGTGCGAATGCACTTCGTCATATTTTTCCAAAAAGGATTCTGACGGCAACGCGCGCGAAGGGGCGTTCGAACGATTTCGACGCGCGCGCTGGCGAAGCCAATTTGGCTTCCTGAAAATGATGAAACAATCCTTGGTTATTGGAAAATTCGCAAAGGCGCGCGCAGGCTGTCTTTATATATATATATATATACACAAAAAAACGTGCTGCGACACCCGGGTCGTTTGTTTCTACATGTGTTTTTTTGACATTCGGTTTTGAAACCCCCACGCAACCGTAAGTTGCTTTAAAGATGTCGGCATGCGCGCGACGACGCGCGCGAACGCATTTCGTCCCTTTCTGTTGCAAGGGGGGCCTGGGGACGAATGATATCTGATAAGCGAGTGCGCGCGTAGTACTTGTTGCAAAGGATGACGGGGGAGGGTGATACCCGCGTGGCTGGGATGGTACGAACTCACATATGAGATGGGCAATGGGGCAGAATCGTATATACATTGCAATACGAAAAAGGGGGACCGATAATCCGGGAGGGGGGGCAGAATCTGTTCTCTTTCTAGAAAGGAGAATCTGCGAGGCACCTTTGATTTCTACAAGCGAAATGACACATCTCATGCTCTTGCAAACATCCCACCCACCCACCCGCAACTTGGTTTGCAAAACCCACGCGGTGGCGATTGGGATGCATGCTTGGCAATGGCTGGTGCCTCTCTGTGGCCGCGGCAACCCAAGCGCGCGCGCAGCGGCCAGCTAGTTTGGCGCCACCGACGCGGCCGCGGTGGCGCTGACCGCTTGGCACACCCCAGCGGGCATTTCAGATCGAGTCGGCGACTTGGGCAGGCGCGGTATCAGGACAACGTCGACAACGGTGGACACGATGATGGTCGTAGCAATGTTGTCGACGATGTTGGCAGCGACGACGACACAGCCAATGCGGGCGCCGATGCGGATCACGCCGACGACGATGACGGCGTCCACGCGTCGGTGATGGAAGTTTTGGAGAAGAGTTCGACATGCGCGCGCGGCCGACGCAAGAGAGTAGCCCGCATGGTATTATTTGACACGGGTCGTGTCCCACCACCACGCGCGCAAGGGCGTGCGAATGATTTCGGCATGTAGCGCCAGAGACCCTTTTGGCAGGATCCCATGACAAGGTTGAGAACCATACGATGGCTTTCTAAACGGTTCGCAAGGGGGCGAGCGCACACATTTTTGAAAACTGATGTTGGAAAACCATGCGTTGTTGTATGTGCTTGGGCACCCGGTTTTGGAATCGCTTCGACACCCGAAAATAAAAACGTTTGACGGATATCAGCACGCGCGCGCGACGACGCGCGCGCGCACTTCACCCTATTTGTTGTAAAACGGATTCTCGCGGCAACACGCGCGCAGGGGCGTTCAGACAATTCTGGCATGCGCGCGCGAAGCCCGTTTGGTAGCATATCCTGAAAATGGTGAACAACCAACGTGTTGCTTGGATTTTATTTTAGAAATTCGCACGAACGCGCGCGCACTCTGTTTTGAAAACCCGTGTTGCGTAATATTGTACGCTTTTGTTTTTGTTATGATAAATGAATTTGAAATCTGTACCAAACCAACGGCTTGTTGGTTGGATTGCGGCACGCGCGGGCGACAGCGCGCGTTTGCGCACTTCGTCTGATTTGGTGAACACTGCTGATGTTTGCTAATCGAATGCGCGCGCATACTACGTGTTGCTGAAAATGGCGGGGGGGATACCGGTTGGGCGGGATGGTAGGCATTCATATTTCGAATGGACGATGGGGCAGAATCGAATGTAAAGCGCAATACGAAAAAGTGAATGGATACTCCCGGGGGGGTGAACCTAGCTTTTTTACAAAAAGAGAATCTATGCGACGGCGACGGCGGCGACGGGCGACACCGCACGCAAAAAACACCACTGGCCCCGAGCGGCGGCGACGGCGACGGCGACGGCGGAGACGGGCGGCACCGCCCGCAAAAACCACCACGTGCCCCGAGCGGCGACGACGACGACTACGACGGCAACGACGGGCAGCACCGCCCGCAAAAGCTACCACTCGCCCCGAGCGGCGGCGTCGGCAACGCCGGAGGCGACGGCGGCGGCGGGCGGCACCGCCCTCAAAAACCACCACTCGCCCCGAGCGGCGGCGACGGCGACGGCGACGGCGACGGCGGCGACGGGCGACACCACCCGCGGAAACCGCGGTTCACCCCGAGATTGTTGAGCCAAGAGAAAACCCTTACGTGCAAGGAAAAAAACACCCCAAAATGATCAAGTCTAGTCGAGGAATCGACCCCCGACGATTTTGTGACTATTCTGGAATATTCCTCCTGTGCGGGGACATGCCCGACGTAAGCCTATGCTCGTGACGCCGCCTCTGGGGCGAGGGGACGTCCGAGGGGGGGGGCGGGGCAACCAGACGGCGCGGTACAGAGGCGCAGGAACGAACCTTATAGACAGCAATTCGCAGCAGGTGTTGCTCGTCCCCATGGCGCCCACCGTCACGTCCAATAGGGCGCCCAATGGCGCGCAGGCAGGGCGCCACGCACCTCCCTCGCATGGCTCTGCTGGGCGCTAGGTGGGCGCTGCCGAGCGCCACTGAGCGCTGTTCGGCGCTGTTGGGCGTGGCGTGCGCGCCGTCGGGCGCCATCCGCCGCTGCTCCACGCAGGGCGAGCAAGGAGCTTCGGCGACCTGCCGCGTCGGCCGCCCCAGACGGAACGGCCCCGCGACAGCGCGCTCCCGCCCGCCTCGTATAGCCGCAGCCCCGAAGGCACGTGGGCGTGCGCCGGGCGCTGCTGGGCGAGCTGGCGTGCCAAGGGGGGAAGGGGGCCGCCTCGGCCGTGGGGCGCCCGCCCCCACCGTCCCTGGCAGCAGGCGCGGCGGAGCGCAGTGGCGCACAGGCGCTGGCCGCGGGGCCTCGCCTGTGCACTGCCCCCGCCCGTGCTCGCCGAGCTGCCCAGGCCCCACGAGGATCCTGACAGACGAGGAGGGGGGCGAGGAGGACGAGGAGGAGGGTCTGGCGAGCGCCGACCCGAAGGCGTCGGCAGGGTGGCGAAGATCGTCGGGCTAGGCAAGGAAATGGGCAGTGGCGGGCGGCACATCGTTCCGAACCACTTTCGCCACCGCGTGCCCCACAATATAAACCGAACGACAGCACCTCGAGTTCGCGTGGAATCCACGTGGACCGCGTCAACGTCGAATCTTCGTCGAATCCACGTCGAATCTGCGTCTAATCCGCATCGGAGACTAGGGAAACCAAAAGGTACCGATAACGCTACTCCCTGGATCTCTCCCAGGATGTGTTCTGACCAGCATGTCGAGGCGAATCCAGCGGTGGCGACGAGGGCCTCCCAGGAGGCCCACAAAGGGAAAATGGGCGATGGGTACTTTTTCCTGCTCCGAGAGACGAGAGACTACCGCTGTTCAGAGGACAATCCCCGAATACGCACTGTGAAGGACCCTCCGGGAACGGCTCGAGTAATCAAAGAGATTAGACTTAGGTCGGGCGTGTCCTCCAACAGGCGGATTTTGGACGAAAAACAAAAATAGTTGAACAATATTTAAACACCCAACAAAAAAGTCCCCCGACTTCTTTTTTAAAAACAACTATTTTTGAACCTAAGGTTAGCCTCACCAAAGGGAAGGGGCCTCGCCCGCGGACGGGGGAAGTTCTCGCGCGGCTGTGGCCAACTTCTCTAACTGGAAATGGTTTGCTAGTCTTGAAGGGGCCCAGGAACACACACGCACACACATACATATATACATATACACTCACGAATATCAGGATTCCCAATGTTTGTCCATGTTTTCTGGGTGATCGCCTTCCCCCCACGTCCCATGGTTTCGCATCCATTCTGGGGGAATCGGTGACTCGTGTCTGTGCTTCTGTGTTTTTCACCCTCCGGAATCATTTCTGGTAACGGTCACTCGGTGGGGGGATTGAGGGCCCCGGGTAAATGTAACGCCTGGGTGGGGTGGGGCACGTCTGGGCAGGAGCGCGCTGCGATGATCGCCAGCGCGAGCGGACACTAACAATCGGGGGGGGTCCAGGCCCCCGAATGATCGTTTAACCACACCCCTGGGGGAGGGGGCTGGCCCCGACCGTTGCGCGCCAGAGGATGAGAAACTGTCTCTGGGAGAATACCAGCCGAAGCCAGGACAGGGACAAGATCAGACCAGGATGCATCGGGCATCTGTGAGAGCAGTTAGGCCCAGGTAGGGTTTCCAGCGTGTCTCCTGCGGTTCCCCAGCGCTTCCCGCATGGCTTTTTCGGAGCCGCGAGCGCCCAAAAACTGTCCAAGAGGGCCCCAGGAGGCCTCTGACCAGCAACCCAGGCACGGTGGCGAGATGAGCCGAAGGCCAATAGGCCGCCCCCTGTTGGCTTGCCACAGGGGTGTACCGCGTGCTGGATGTCTGGGAAATTGTTTCGGTCCAACCCGCTGGCCGTGAAAAGCCTTGCCAATTATGTTATCCATTGGCCTCCCCCAAGATGACCCCAATCTTGTTTTGAAAAGGCTAAGATGGCCTCCAGGACGGCTACCATGGCCTCCAGGGAGCCCGAGATGGCCCCAAAATGTCTTACAGACTGGCAGAGATACCCCCAAGATGGCCCAAAATGGTCTCAAGATGGCCCATGACCACCCAAGAGGCCCAAAAGAGGCCTGGAGGGCCCGAAAAGCCACATGGTGTTTGAAAGAGTTTGGCATTTGCTTCTTTTCGGCCTCCCAACGTCCCAAGGCGGCCCAAGACGGCCCAAGGTGCCCCAAAATGGTCCCAAAGCGGTCCAAGATGCCCCCAAGATGGCTCCCCAAGAGCTCCAAGACTGCCCCCAAAGCCTCCCAAGACGCCCAAGATAGCTTCCGAGATGGCCCTGAAACGCCCCAAGAAGGCTCCCAGTCGGTTCAGAGAGGCCCCCAAGACGGCTTCCGACGGCGTCAGACTGGCCAGGAACGCCCAAAGGCTCTGGACACACCTACTGCGAATCACCGCCGTCCCCTGCCGTTTTGGGAATAACGGGCCATAACATGACCACGATCTGGGGAATCCTGGAGGGTAATCTCGCCTTCACTTACAACAGCCTCGGGGACGACGGGTTCTGGGCCACCTCTCGCGTGGGAAAGGCTCAAGAGTGTTTCAAAGAGTTGGAGCCTCTACAGCGTCGGCCTGCAGGTTCTCAGCAGAGGCTCCAACTCTTTGAAACACTCTTGAGCCATTCCCACGCGAGAGACTCCTCTGCGAACAAAACTTACAGGGCCAATTACACAGGTAAGAGAAGGTAATCACTGCGTGTCCCAACTCATGAAAAGCACTGCGTGTTCACATCCCATGGCAACATCCAGCAGAAACCTGCGCCCATGCCAGCGAACGGTGGGATCCGGTCTGCGGAAAGCAGCGGGTGGGGGGAAGAGTGCCGACCCAGCGGTCCGAAGAGGCAACCCACCGAAGGGCGGATGGACAAACGCGCACTCCCCAACAACCCTTTCACCAGCCACCAACGCACGAACACCAGCTCAAGGGGGAAGACCCCTGGCTCTCTAGCACTAGGCTTCTGTCGCGCCGTCGCTGCTCGACCGACCGACGCAGCAGAGGAGGGCCCAGCGGAGGCGAGGAGTGCCCGTGGCGCAGGCCTTGGCTGGCTCTGCTGCTCCCAAGGGGCCGTCTCGCACCGGCCGCTGCCGCCCTCGTCGACGCAGCTCCAGGCGGCCTCCAGCGCCTGGCGCCCGCTCAAGGGGTGGTGGTGAGCGAGAAGGCGTCCAGAGCGGGCTCCCGCTGCCCTCCTAAGTAAGGCCTCCCCTCGCGCCGTCGAGGCGCGCGGCTGTTTTCGAGCAGCTCTCGCGCTGGCCCCCCCCCCCTCCTCCTCCTTCTCCTCCTCCTCCTCCTCCTCCTCCTCCTCCTCCTCCTCTTCCTCCTCCTCCTAATCATACTCATCCTCCTCCTCCGCATCCTCCTCCGCCTCCGCCTCCTCCTCCTCCTCCGCCGCCTCTTCCTCCCCGACCCTCCCCCTCCTCCTCCTCCTCCTCCTCCTCTCCTCCTCCTCCTCCTCCTCCTCCTCTAACTCCTCCTCTTCTCCTCTAGCTCCTCCTCCTCCTCCTGCTGCTGCTCCTCCTCCTCGTCGTCCTCCTCCTCCTCCTCCTCCTGGGCCTCATTATACTCATCCTCCTCCTCCGCCTCCTCCTCCTCCTCCTCCTCCTCCTCCTCCTCTGCCTCCTCCTCCTCCTATTCCGCCCTCCTCCTCCTCCTCCGCCACTTCCTCCTCGACCCTCCCCCTCCTCCTCCTCCTCCTCCTCCCTCCTCCTCCTCCTCCACCTCCTCCTTCTCCTCCTCCTCCTCCTCGGCCTCTTTCTCCTGCTCCTCCTCCTTCTCCTCCACCTCCTCCTCCTCGACCCCCCCGTCTCAAGCCGAAAGGCGCTCATACCTGCGCGCCCCGGGGAAGCTGAGCGGAACGCGCCGCCACGGCCAGGTGATCCGCTTCCGCGGGGCCTCTGCGAGGCTCCTGCCCCGCGGGGGCCCCAGAAGCGGCTCGACGGGGCGTCGTCGGGGAAGATCCTGGTGGGGCGAGCGGCGGCCACAGACCAACCCCCGATCCCGCCGGGGCACGAAGTAGGTCGGGCATGTCCCCCTACAGGCGGATGCTGGAAGACACACGGAACAAACAAATGAACAATACTCAAAATAGTCAAAACTAGCAGAAAAATTGCCCCCGAACTATTTTGTGTACTATTTTAGAACACTCCTCCTGTAGAGTGACATGCCCGACTTCAGGCATGAACGAACATCACGACAAGAGATGTTGTTTCCTGTTTTCGGCCTCGGGGGCCCTCGCCGGGCCCCGGGGCCGTCAAAACACGGCTCAGGATGAAGAGCCGGTGCCCATGGAGGAAGGAGGAATGGGCCGAGAGGTCTCCGGGGGTCGACGTTGTACCTCCTGACGTCGGGGGTCTGGGACGGGGGCATCGGGTTCCCAGACCCCCGACGTCGTCATTTTTTCGCACAACGTCGACACCCAGAGATCTGGACCCCTTCCCGGGGACCGGATTTTCACCCTGAGTCGTTTTGTTGACGGTCCCGAGGCCCGAAGGCCGAAAAAAAAACGAAACGCCTGCGGTCGTGACCTTTTCACAGCGCCAAAAGGGCCTTGGTCACCCACCATGGCGGGAGCAGGCTGGGGAGCCTGGGCGACCAGCTCTCGGGGGAGCGACTCGAGAAGAGCGCGGAGGAGGAGGAGGAGGAGGAGGAGGAGGAGGAGGAGGAGCGCCCGTGGAGGATGAGGAGGAGGAGGAGGAGGAGGAGGAGGAGGAGGAGGAGGAGGAGGAGGAGGCTGACGCCATGAGCGCCCGTGCCAAGCGGCCTGACCTGGGAGGAGGAGGAGGAGGAGGAGGAGGAGGAGGAAGGAGGAGGAGGAGGAGGAGGAGGGGGGAGGAGGAGGAGGAGGAGGAGGAGGAGGAGGAGGAGGAGGAGGAGGAGGAGGAGGAGGAGGAGGAGGAGTAGGAGCAGAAGCACACATCCATAGGCGAGCCCTGGGTTACCGTCTGATGAATGCTGCATGGCGGGTTGAAAGGTGTTGCGCGTAGCTGCCGAGCGGCTGCGGGGTTTCAGTAAGTTCGGAACGAGGCTTATGGAATATACTGTGAGCGAGGCGGACTAAATCATGGGCAAAGGCCACCGTGAGGTGGCTTGGTATTTATTCCTCCTCGGGTACCAGGCCAAGCCAGCGGAAAAGAGGAGCAGACGGGATGTGCCGACGGGGCAGCGCGATGAGATGTAGGAGGCGGGGGCAAGAGAGGCAATGGAGGAACGAGTCGGGGCAGTCGGGACAGCCAAATCGACACTGTCAAGGGGTGAGGATGTTGATTGTGCGGCTGATGATCCACCCTCCAGCCAGAATCTTAAGATGAGACCAGATTTCACTGGGTTGCGATCTGGCCAAAATCTACCGAAGACGCGGCCACATTGTTTTGATCTCGTCTTCGGGCAAAGGGTCCAAATGTGGGAGAGAACGCGTTTCACGGGCGCTTGCCTTGGAAACATCCGGCGGCGCGTTTTAAACCGGGGGGTGGCCCCCCCACAACACTCGGCGCTGCCGATCAAAACCAAGGAGACTCCCCTCCCCCCAAACCCCCCCCCTCCCGAACCCCCCCCCCTCCCAGAGAGGGGGGGGGTTCAACCCCCCCCCAAACCCCCCCCCTCCCCCCCCTCCCTCGGCGCCGGCGCCGGCGCTGGCGGCCGCCAGCAGCGCCCATGGCGGGGACGCAGCGACGATGACCAGAGGCAGCTCAAAGGGGAGGGTTTTCAACCCCCCCCCTGGCGCCGGGAAGGGGGGTTTCCAACCCCCCCACACCCCAGCTCGCGCCGGCGCCGGCGGTGGTGGCGGCCAGCAGCGCCGGCGCTGGCGCCGGCGACGGCGGGGACGCAGAGACGATTACCCTACCACCACCACCACCACCACCACCACCACCACCACCACCACCACCACCACCACCACTACCACCAACACCACCGCCTCAACTCACCACCACCACCAAACAGCACCACACAACCACCACCACCACCACAGCCACCACCACACCAACAACCACCACCACAACCCACCACCACTACCACCACACCACCACCACACATCTAACACACCACCACCACCACCGCCACAACCACTACCAGCAGCACAACCCACTGCCACCACCACCACAAACCACCACACCATCACCACCACCACCACCGCCACCACCACCACCACCACAAACGTCCACAAACCCCCGCCACCACCACAACCCACCACCACCACCACAAACCACCACCACACCACCACAACCATCACCACAATCTACCACAACTCACCATCACCACCACCACAAAAACCCACCACCACTACAACCACCACCACATTCTACCACACCACCACCACCACCGCAACAACCACCACCACCACGAGCAGCACAACCCACCACCACAACCACAAACCACCACACCAACACCACCACCACCGCCACCACCACCACCACCACCGGCACCACCTCCACAAACCACCGCCACAACCACAACCCACCACAGCCACCACCACAAAACCACCACCACACCACCACCAAACCACCACCACCACAACCCACCACCACCACCACCACCACGACAAACCACCACGACAAACCACCACCACACCACCACCACACCACCACCACCACCACCACCACCACCAACCGCCACAACCACCACCACCACAACAAACCACCACACCACCACCACCACAACGACCACCACCGCTACCACCACCACCACCACAACCCACCACCACCACCACCACCGTCGTCCTCGTCGACGCTCCCCGCCACCGCCTTCCGCCGCCGCAGGCGCCGTCCGGCGCCAGCCCAGATATGGAAATCGTCGTCCCCGCCGCCGCCGCCAGCCGCCGCCAACGCAAACGCCGGTCCGAAGAGAGGGGAAGCACGGAGGTGGGAGGGGGTTCGAACCCCCCCCCCTCCATCCAGGGGGGGGGGGTCCGGTTCCAAACCCCGCCCCCCTCCAAGCGACCACAGAACGCGCTCTTTCAAATGTGGGAACCACGTGCGGAGCCTTCTGGATAGAAGCTCGTGGAAACGATGCGGGTACATTAAACTATCTAGTCTATCTACGAAGGCACCCTGAGGCCGTTTCTCCCCGCTCCCAAAAAGCTGACGACCACGCCCCACCCTTTCGCCCATCAGGGTGCCTTCAGCTCTGGGGCTGGGAGTGTCAAAGTTTGCCCCGGCGGTGGCGGTGGCGGTCGCCTCTTGAATATGATTCGCGGGAAAAAGGAGGCCGCGGCAGCATCGGACGAACTTTGTATAGTGCTGCGAGACTCCTGAAACTTAGGCTCAACAATCCAAAAAGAGGAGACCTCGTCGCACTCTCATGTGACAGCCGTGTATGTCCGCCCCGTCCCACCGACACTCAAAATCCCCCGCCCAAGTTTCGATAAAGTGCGCGGACGCGCGCCATCCGCATCCTAACGCATACACCTGCACGCTGGTAGAAGTGGAAGAACAGAGCCAGCTTCTCAACCCAAAGAAATCGTGCAGAGAGAAGGAGCTGGGTGGGAGACGGATGATCTTCTGGAGTGCAAAATATGCCTTGCGTGGGATTGCCTGGCAAAACGGGTAAAATAGACAAGGTATCCTAGGACTGATTGACACGTGCGCTCATGTGGGCGTATGGCCGCCTTGCTCGGTGATCGAGTCAAGGCGATCGCTCGTGTCCGCGACCACCACTTTTGGCCAGCCTCCTTCCACAGCTTTCGCAAATCCGCCCCATGGCCGATGAGGACCCCTAAATATTTGGCCCAACTCGCGATGTGGAGGTCCGCCCAGGCCAGCCCCAGTTGAGCTACCTGACTGGCGATGCGAGCGCATTCAACCACAGCACAGGCGACGGCAAGCGGCGCGGCAGCAGTGGCTGAGGGGCTAGCCCGCCGAGACGTTGAGCGAACTGAAAGGTCGCATGCAACATTGGCAGCATCGATATATGATTGAGCACAACTCCACATCGTCGGCACACGCTCCCAGGGTGGCTTGCTCTCTGGAGAGGAAGAGAACGAGGTGACGGAGGAAGTGTCGGAAGCTGGGCGAGGGCTGGCAAACCCGTGGCTGCTAAGACGGTCCTCCCGGAAGAAAAAAACACATTCCCAGAATAAGGTTCAGCGCACTAAGTCGTAAACCGGCTGCTCCCTGGAAGAGAAGAGACATT